AATTTAATTTATTATTGTTGTGTGTGTGTGTGTGTGTGTGTGTGTGTGTGTGTGTAATAAATTTCTATTATATATTTTTCTACAGAAGAAAAATAACTTATTAATAAATATTATCATAATATTGCAATTGATTATGAATGATAACAGTTTTATGTAATAACTTTACTAAATTAATTTTTGTTTCTTACTATATCTATAACTGCATGATAGCTTCAATTACATAAAGCTCAAATTAATATAAGAATTCGATAAAATTACATTTGGCTATAAAATTCAGACATTTGGCTATTAAATTTGTCATTAAAAATTATAATCATTTTCTATACATAGTAAAGTTTAAAAAAATCGTAGAAAAATTATTTCTAAAATTATTAGGTTTCACAGTTCGTAAATAAATGCGCAAAAAATATTTTGTTTTCTGTAAAATATGAGTAGTAATATTTTTTGTTTCGTTAAAATTATTATGTTTTAATAGAAAAAAATTTATCGTTTTGATCACACTTATTAAATGTTATGTTTTCATGCATAGCACGATGCCTTCCGATAGCATGGATGACATCGAGCTAAAAAACATTCAGTTGCAATTTCCGGCACTGAGATATCTCTCCAGAGACGACAGCTCTGTACGAGAAGAAAGGGTGGAGACCGACAAGGGAAATTTGCTGGTAGCAGTGCAAGGAAATCGAGCAAAACCAGCTATCATTACTTATCACGATCTAGGCCTTAACTGTAAGTAATTTATAAATGTTTAAGATAATGTAAAATTATAAATTTCAATTTATTTATATTCTAAACATTTTTTCATTAAATATTATTACTACAATACTTAAAAAATATATATATAATGTATATATTTCATAATACTAGTATATACATATACACGTGTTTATATACACATATATATATATATATATATATATATTAATTATTTATATATATTAATATGTTCCTAATATAAAAAATTTTTTTTACAGACATCTCGAGCTTCCAGGCATTCTTTAATTACATCGATATGCGTGTTCTACTCGAAAATTTTTGCGTATATCACGTAAACGCACCCGGACAAGAAGAAGGCGCACCGACATTACCCGAAGAGTAAGTTAATTTCTCAATTTCTAAAAAAAATGTAGTTATCTTGCTAACTGATGTTTTAAAATAAAGCATTCCTTTATTATAGTAAAGCCTGTTAAAAAATAAGTTAATTAATAATTAATAAGATTAATAAATAAATACATGATACTTTAGTCTTTTCTAAATACATATTATTTCATACTAATCAATTAAATTAATAAATATAACTTAATTAATATCCCAAATAATTTCAGTACAATATATCCCGATAACAGTTTGTTCATAATTTATGGATTCGTAAAATTTTGATTCCATAAAAGCTATATTTTTATTGCTTGTATTTTATATTTATGAATGCTTGTATTTTATTGTAATATTCTATGTATTTGTATGAATTCAAATTATCAATTATTATATAATTCTTCTTTCTAATCTATTGTTTAATATTATATGTCTAATATATATTTTTTTTATAAAAATAATATTAAATCAATAAAATTAAAAACATGCATATGTATTTTCAAAAATTGATAATTTTTACAACTATTACTATATTCCTACATGTATGTATATAATTTCAAGTAACTAAAAATTACATTAAATACATATAATATAAATATAATATAACATAATATAATAAACTAGTACATCCATTTATAAATTAAATTATATAAATAAATAAAATAAACTTTTATATTAATTTATCAAAAATAAAGGTTTTAACTATTAAAAATATGATAATTTTGTAATATATCTAAATTCTTTAACATTATTAAATTAGGAAATTATATTTTTAATATAATTAAGTATTTTAAGCATCAAGGTTTATTTCAGAAGTATGCGTTCCTTCTTTTTTCTTTTAACTCAAACATCAAAATTATTTAAACCGCAATGCAGATTTGCATGCAGAAATTATCAGTTGGTTTTGTTCGCGTGCCAAATCCACCAAAGGCCGATATAAGCTTTAAATATTGATATATCGATCCTCGACTTCTATTGTTATAGTCATATAATATTTATTTATTTCAACAATAATAATCGACAATATGTTTCAGTTTTACTTATCCGTCCATGGAAGAGCTGGCCGAACAGCTACTCTTTGTTCTTGGCCATTTTGGCATAAAATCTGTAATCGGTTTCGGAGTCGGAGCTGGGGCCAATATACTGGCAAGATTCGCGCTCGCTCATCCGGAGAAAGTAAATGCGCTGTGCCTGATAAATTGCGTGTCCACGCAGGCAGGATGGATCGAGTGGGGTTATCAAAAGTTAAACGTGCGCCACCTGAGATCACAGGGTATGACTCAGGGTGTTCTCGATTATCTGATGTGGCATCATTTTGGCAGGGTAAGTAAACACAATATTTTGATCTTAAACTTGAAATAAGATTAATATTCAGCAATAGCAATATTTTAAATACAAAAATACTTTTTATTTGAATACAATTATAAAAGATTTAATTAACATAACTGCTATAATGTTATACGAATGAGAAAGTTATACGATATGAGAAAACAAAATAAGTAAATAATTTTTTAATAATTCTCATTGAACAAATTTAACTTATTTTTCATGAAATGCTATACTAAACTCGTCATTTTAGTTGCATTCTTTATTTTTATAATTAATTCAGTCGTGAATAAAAGCCACGAAAAATTTTTTTCTACCTAAATATATTGATAATTTATTATATTAGATCTTATTTATTATATTATATTAGATTTGAATATTTAATATGGTAAAACTTTTATAAAAATATATATAAATATAACAGATTGAGTTATATAATAAAATCTAATAAACTCGAATTCTATAAAAAATTATCTTATATATATTTATTACTTTATTCAGAATATTAAATAATTAAATTGTCCGGAAAATGTAACAAACATTTTTCTTCTCTCTTCTAACGTCTTTTATGAGAGATAATCATGTTTCGAGCAAGATTATCTCACTATGACACTATACTCTATGAAGCTAATAAACGCCAGGCTTTCATGAGGCGCAAAATAATGTCAACCAAGTTAGCGCTCATGCGCGAGCGTAAGATGAATTATCGACGACGAAGCTTAAGCTTTCAAAGCTTTCGTTAGAACATCTCTGTGGAAACTAGGGATTACACTGACAGTTTTACTTTATTATACAATGTAAAGATTGCGTATAAAGATGACCTTCAACCTTTTAAGAAATAGATATAAAAGTAACAGGAGATATCGATTGTTTAAAAAATTATGTTTATAATTTATGTACTAAAAAATTGTTTTCAATCATGTTTGAATTTTTCAATTATTTAAAATAAAAAAAAATAATTAAATTAATATGGAATAAAATTTAATAATAACGATATTATTGATACTAACGTGCGAAAATAGAGTGTCTTTTGTGTATAATTAAGACTGTAAAGATAATAATGTAAACGCGTAATATATTATGTAACTAGCTATTTTATGCATACTGCGTCTTCAACATACATTTGTTGTATACACATAACATGTATTGTCAGTACACACACGTTTATATACACTCACATATATACATACTACATGCACACGTATATATACACATTTCTTAAATTTTAATGCAGTTTCTTTTTTTAAATGGATATAATAAATTTTAAATATAATAAATATTGTAAATGACTGCTGATTATTGAATGAGTCTTATAGTGTGTTTTATAAAGTCTATATAAATAACAAAGAATAATTTCAAATATATTAATTCTGTTTTTTTGAATGTCATGTATAAGATCATAGTAACATAAAAATCTATTAATGCTACTTATTATA